ACTCTTTCCGGCATGTTTCAAGTCTCAAAAAACTTCAAGACGGTAGCAATAATTTCATATTTGACAATATCCCAATTCCTTCAATAGAAACAGGCAGGAAACCCATCCATACCTAGAACCTTTAGTGGCTCGATTTGAAACAAGGCATGGGACACCTCTTTTTTAGAGAAAGGCGCAATTAAGGCATCATTCATCTCATTTGTCACTTTACCCTCAACACAATCCAGAACTGTTGCTGGTGAAAGGGTAGGGTCCTTCATGTATAACTCCTTGAAGTAGGAGGATGACATGTATTCCATATCCATTGGAGTTGAGCACCAAGATCCGTCGACTTTACAGAGGCGTTGAATAAAATTCCCCCTTTCCCTCCAAACTGCTCGATGATGAAGATACTTGGTTTTCCTCTCACCTTCTTTCAGCCAAATGATGCGAGACAGTTGGAGCCACAAAATCTCTTTCTGTGAGGCAATTCATCCAACTGATTCATCTTCTCCCTTATACTTTACTAGTCCACATTATCTAGCTGAAGTGATGCAAACTCAGACCACAACCTTTCAATATCCCTTGTCACATGACCAAAATTCTCTGAACTCCAAGCTTTCAAGCTATTCATCGCCTCTTTTAGTGACACTGCCACTGACCCAAGATCTCCATCGGGTTGCATCACAGCCCATGATGAGGATACCCATAATAGGTAGGCCCACGAAGGGTCAACATATCACAAAGCATGGGGCCATCCCAAATCTCAAAACCACTGTAAAAGTTACTCGGACGATATCCGAGTTGCCACTGCTTGGACAACAAACGCATCGGCTACTCGAACGGATGAGACTTACGTGACCACATGGCATACTCGGATACACGAAGTTGAATAGTTGGCAGAAGCATCTGAAACGCCAAAACATTCAAGGCCTCATATGTTACTAATGTTTTTTCATCAGTTACCCCTCTGGTGGGTTTAATCAATGCAATCCATTACTTTTCCTGTAACAACAGAAGCTAAATGTCGGGCGCACTCTATATAAGCCACCATCCCTTAGCACATAGATAGGGGTTCGCATTCCATTGTATCCAGACACACACGGACAGAAAGAAAGCTCCAAGAGCACAAGACGTAGGGCTTGCTACACTCCCGAGAGGGTTCTAAACCTTCTAAATTTTATTCGTGTCACACTTGTGCCTAGATAGATCCAGACTCATTCTAACCCCCTCCCACGATTGTCAGAATTATCCTAGGACAGCCCATGCGGAAGCAATTACTTCTAGGAGGCATGCACCCCTTTCCACATAATCTTGTACATCGACGTGTGTCGGTGCTTGATATTACCTTCCTTGGCTAGCGGCTACACCCCCAGATGTCCACCCCACATGAGAGGCGGGAAGACCAGGAGGCCTGCGAGCGTATCGTGGTGGAGCAAGCCGGCGAGGTGTACATGGCAGAGCTCCGCCACCGCTACCACGAGCGAGTCGAGGTAGAGTGTCGGCTGTATGCGGAGTACACGGCGGGGAGGATAAGTGTCAATGACCTCTCCAGTGACAAAGGAGGGGACGGGGACGGCCCCAACCCTTTTATCGAAGGGTTGAGCAGAGCGGATTGAAAGAGTATCAAAGAAGAGTTGGATAGCAACTTGGTTTAAAATTCTAGCCTAAATTTTGAATTTTGTTTTAGTTAGTTTTATGTAAAATATTTCGAATTTGCACTGAAATCCATTTTACAAGTTTTATGTAGTATTTCAAACTTTATTTTAGCACCGAATTTGTGTTTATGTGCCTTTCGGTATTTTTTCTCTTTTTGCTCCGTTAAGTTTTGAGGTTCGGTTAGAAACGGTGTTTTTCTATAGGAGTAAATGTGCCTCTCTAAATATACTTGGCGGTTTACTCCTCTAAAAATAAAAATTAGGAGAACGGTTAGAGTTGTTCTTAGATGTGAGAAAAGAAGGCAAGGGGCGAAAAAAAATGAAAATTGCATATGTTCTGACAAACTATATATTTTTTATTTCTTTTGCGTACTTTTCTCCAAACTAGCAAATCATCAATATTTCTTCAAATTTTAATTGAGATCTCCAGAATACGACGACTAAGCTAACACTAAAACCTAAATGCAATTTACTGTAAGCAACGATCTCCGTACTTGCAAACCTGAAAACCATTGGCGGGCAAAAAAATCTGAAAAGGCCACGCTACTCTGCCCTCGCAACATGTCCGATCAGGTGTACTGAGCAAGACACGTAGTACCCAAATCCAACCATCACCTTTCACTCTCTCTGGAACAAACGGAGAGGTTTGATCATCCGGCTACGGCAGGGCCCATGCGTCCATGGTGCGCCACATGGCCCTCCATCGGCGTCGTGTCGTCCGCCGTGTGACCTCGCCGGCGCATCCAGAAGAATCATCGCCGCTCCTTCCTAATCCCCACCGAATTAGTGCGACATTTCGCCTTTAATCCAGCCCAACAACCCCGTCGCCAACTTCTTCTCGATTAAAAATGCGAACGGAAAGCGACGGCGCAGTCCAGTTCGGAAAGGCCCCTTTCCCCCGGCCCTTTACGAGCGGCAGTCCAACTTTATAAATTAATGTTGGCCCGGCCCCAACGACGCCACCCAAAAGGAAATGGGACACGCATAAAACAACAAGGACGCCAACAAGAGCAGAATTCTATCCCCCGGAAGAACAGGCGGAGGGGAGGAGAGGAGAACGACGAGAGCGAGGACCCCCGATCCCCGCCGTGCCGTCTCCTCCGTGTTTCCGATCGATCGCCCGGCTCTCCGGCTAGGTACGGCCGCTGTTGATCTCGCCTCCTCTTTTGATGATGAGGTCCGGCTGCTCTGTTCCTGATTTTAGATAGGATTCTCTTGTCCGGCTGGTTGGATTGTTTGTTTGATGCGTTGATTGTTCTTGGCTGCGACCTGCCATCCATCTAGGTTCGATTGGTTGGTTTATCGGATTGATGGTCTGGTGCGTGTGTTGCCTGATGAGATGACGAGCAAAAGTATGCCTGAATTTGCGGTGAATATGGTGATGGATGATGTTATCGAAAATGAAATTATGATGATGGATCGATGATTGTGTTTGGAACTTCGCTATAACTGCAAACAAAGTCGTCCCTAGAGGATTAGGGTTCTTAGGGCTGTGTGCATCAATCGATACAGAGGCCCGGGGGTGTTCGCCTCTTTTCGAAAAGAAAAGGATTGGTGTTCAGATAGGAGAATTCATGTAGGCTTACCTGGATTGCTTCTGCCTTGTGGTCATGCCGAGGTTGCTTAACCATGGTTGCAAGGCAGTCGCTTAGCCGGCAGGATTTCTTCCTTGCGGTTTTCGCTGCCGTAGATAAGAATAAGATCCTTCCCTTTACTCAAGGGGATACTATGCCATCAAAGATGGACAAGCTGGTACGGCTGCTGTTGATTTCGCTCTTTTGATGAGGTCTGCCTGCTCTGTTCCTGGTTTTAGATAGGATCCTCTGGTCCGGTTGATTCAATTGTTTGTCTGATGCGCGTTGATTGTTCATGGCTGTGACCTGCCAACACCTAGGATTGGTTTGTTTATTAGATAGTCTGGTGCGTTCTGTTGCCTGATGACGAACAAGCATGCCTGAATTTGCGGTGGTTACGGTGATGGATGATGTTATCGAAAATGAAATTATGATGATGGATGAGTGATTGTGTTTATAGCTGCGAACTGAGTAATTGGTGTTGGTCATCAATATAGGATTAGTGTTTCTAGAGGTGTGTGCGTCAATCGATGCAGAGGTTGAGGTTGTTCACCCTCTTTTTTCTGAAAATAAAAGGAAAGAAAAGAAAAAGGATTAGTATTCAGATAAGGGAATTCACGTAGGCCTACCTGGATTGCTTCTGCCTTTGGCCTTCCCGATAGTTTCAAGGTAGACGCTTAGCCGACGGGGTTTCTTCCTTGCGGTTTTCGATGCCGTATATAAGAATAAGATCCTTCCCTTTACTCAAGGGGATACTATGTCATCAAAGATGGACAAACGGCAGAAATCTTTCTAGGAGCGTGGAAATACACCTTTCCGTTGCGTAGACAGGATTTGTATCCCTTTATGCAAGATAGGATAGGTGCCAAGGCGGCGAGTAAAACCGTGTACAAAAACTTCAACATGAATGATATGTTTCGCCTGCCTTGGATTGCACGATATGTTTTTGTTTCTGCCTTGTGACCTTCCCAAGGTTTCTTAATCACAGTTGCAAAGCAGACGCTTAGCCGACAGGATTTCTTCCTTGCGGTTTTCGCTGCCATAGATAAGAATAAGATCCTTCCCTTTACTCAAGGGGATACTATGTCAACAAAGATGGCGGCGAGTAAACTGTCTATAAATACTACTTCATCATTAGTCATGTGTATGTTTCTTGGAAAGCATAGCAATTGATCATCGATTCGCACAAGGTCTCTCGGTGAGTAAACACATACAAGGATAAGCAATCAATAGCGACTTGATTGCTTCATTCCTATTCTTGGTTTACCTCGCAGCTAAGACATTTGTGCAGTTTGTCGGGCTGGTTTCAGTACTATATTCTCCATACAAGATATGGGAATCATGTGCATTTTTAGATTCTCTGTCACGCATTTATGCTTGTTTTAAATCGGCATTTAGATTGCTATGGAATACCTGTTCAAAAGGGAACTAGCCCAATCAGGAAAACAGTAATGAAGAAGTCTGTGTCAAGGTTTATCATGTGCATGGGCCATGGGGACTTGAGTGTAAGGGGGTCCTCTTTCCACAAATATGGTGCTTATTTGATGGTACGCAGTGCCTATCTATGACCTCTAATCCTAATGATGTGAATAGACAGCTTATTGGTTTCTGTAGGTTATGATGAGTGCTCATCATATTCAGAACAATTGCAGGGCAAGTATTTGTGATGGCCATCTGACATTTAGCTTCCTTTACATCATTTTGTGCATTAGTAGCCCTATATTGATTATGTTCGAGGTCCATGATTGTCCGTTCACGATACTGAAGGTGTGATCGGTGTTCTGCAGAAATGGCGCAAGAGAGTTGGAAAGAGGCGGAGGATACGGGTGTCCACGCACCTGAGGCTCCGATAATGTGCATCAACAACTGTGGCTTCTTCGGCAACCGGATGACCGAAAACATGTGTTCAAAGTGTTACCGAGACACTGTCAAGGCCAAGAAGATGGCCCTTCTAGTCGAGAACAAAACTGCTGCTGCTGTTGCATCGTCACCCACACCAATGGTGGCAGAGATCAAGGATGAAGCGTCTGCCTCAGCCAAAGAAGGAAAACAAGTAGCCGAGGAGGAGGCGCCGAAGCCACCCAGCAACCGCTGCCTGTCGTGCCGGAAGAAGGTCGGGCTGACGGGGTTCAAGTGCCGCTGCGGAGACACCTTCTGCTCGATGCACCGCTATGCCGACGCGCACGATTGCAAGTTCGACTACAAGCAGGCCGGCAGGGAGCAGATCGCCCAGCAGAACCCCGTCGTCAAGGCTGACAAGGTCACCAGATTCTGATGGAGGTTCTGCTGCAGGAGCCCTCCAGCTCGTTTATTCCCTCTATGATGATGATGATGCTTGGTCCGTCAGGTTTACTTCAGAATTGTGTGTCCACCATCCTCCTGGAATGTAGTACTTTGCCGATGAACCCGCCTTCGACAAACACCACCATCCGATGCCCGTCCAACGGCCATCAACGGGCCATCGCACCGGGCTGGCAACGCCTTCAAGGGCTGTATAATGTTGGTGTTTGTGTGGGAGGAACATTCATTGGCACAGGTGCACTTCTGTTTATTTACATATGAATAATGTGAATGTAAATATTTATCCTTTAACAGTATGCAGTTCAACTGATTAAACTGTTATATGCTCAAGGCTTGGCAGGCTTCCTGGGTCACCTGTTAGTGTAAAAATCATTGTACATTTCGGTGTGTTATGTGTTCAAATCAGCAATACTTGGTGCATTTTATACTATGAGTTGGAGAGGGATACTGTAGAAAAGATCAACTAGTAGTAGTTTGCTGCACAGATCACTGTCAGAGTAAAATAAATATGTTGGGTGTTCGTTTGTTGAGGGTGATGCAGAGACAAACAGAGTGTCCATGCCTCCACTTCAGTGCTTGTTTACACTAGCAGGTGACCATGCCTCCACTTCAGTACCAGCAGAACTTGTCCAAGGTGCCTGATTGATTTTGTTTTGTTTCACCAGATCACATAGTAGTGCCTGTTGATCAATACAATGATATAATCTCCATTCCCCTGGAGTACATCACAGTAGTATTGATCAACAGCAGAGGCGTATAATCATCTGGTAGGTAGTTGAAAACTGAAAATAGCAGCAGATAATGGACCTCCACATGGCTGGTTGCGTCCTATTGAGAAACTAGTTAATGGGTCACCTCACACTACCTGCATTGGAAGCATTTATTTTCTTCTTTTTTGCCGACCTGCATTCAAAGGAAAGTTGTGCATCTAGATCCCTAAATGTGATGCTGGATCCAGGATTCATGTGCTGCGGTACTATATTGCCAACCAAATCCTGCTCACTTTGTATATACTCCATGGCCATGCTGTGAGATCTGGGACTCTGAATCAACTGTACTCCATTTCAGTCATCACTCATCAGTAGTATTCTTGTATCAGCAAGTACAACACATCAAGATCTTTTTAACGTTTGTTAATGTTTTGTGAAATATCACTGGAACATTGGATCTGAGACTCTGAATGAACTGTACACCATAGTCATCAAGCACATCAGGTGTTTGAATATCATGTGAAATGCCATCTGAACATATATCCTCAGGTATATATGCCTCCAGTACAAAGAATCGTACCGAATTACCACTAGTAACTACTGCTGATCCAAAAAATATACTATGAGGCAACAAATGATCAACTGATGCAAAATAAGTCTGTTGCATTCTCTAATGCGACACCAAGAGCTGGACCAGAGCCAGGAGAACGAGCAGAGCGGCGGCGCCGAGCGGCCCGGCGCGTGCTCGCCGGTGGCCACTCGACGTCGAGGAGGCGGCGATCTGTATGGGGAAGTTGCAGGCGGCGGTGGAGGGGTCGGTCTGCGTGGGCACGGCGAGCGCCTGGAAGTCGCACGCCTCGTCCTTCTGGTTCTGCACCTGGAAGTACATGTTGAAGGCGTAGGAGGCGTTGCCATTGGCGTCCATGCCGTAGCAGGTGGAGCCGAGGCCGAGCGCCGTGCAGTCGGCGAAGGTGCAGGCGTAGTTCACGTTCTCCACCAGCTTGCTCTTGTCCTCGGCGTTGGGGTTGTACACGCACCACGTCCTGGGCAGGTACTGCACGCCCTTGGCCGGCACCAGCATGGTGTTCTGCCCGTTGCCGGTGAGGTCCATGGGGAACTTGGGCTGGCCGTCGAAGCGGAGCACGCCCCAGTGCCGCTCGAACGCGCCCGGCGCCACGCTCTTGACGTCCTCGTCCAGGAGCCCGAACAGGTACACCTCCATGTACTGTTTGGGCCGGAGCGGCGTGCCGGTGTTGGCCGCCAGCCGCGGCAGCAGGCCGTCGTAGAAGCGCTTGGCGAGGGCGTTGGTGGCGTGCTTGTCGCCGTCCGTCGGCCAGCCGACCTCGCCGATGACGATGGGCAGGTCGCCGTGGCCGACGGCGGCGAGCGCGGACACCAGCGTGTCGAAGTTGGCGTCGAACACGTTGGTGTAGGTGTTGACGCCGTCGACCAGCGGCTTGGCGAGGCCGTCGAAGAAGGCGAAGTCGACGGGGAAGTCCTCGCTGAGGTAGAGGCTGAGGTAGGGGTAGATGTTGACGGTGAAGGGGGCGCTGTTGTTGGCCAGGAACTGCACCATCTGCGTCATGAGCGGGGCGACGTCCGTCCGGAAGCGGCCCGCCGACGGCACCTGGTTGTTGGCGGGCGAGTTGTAGACGTCGGCGTTGAGCGGCACGGTGGCCTTGATCTCGCTGAATCCGGCGTCGTTGAGCGCGTTCTGGATGTTCTGCAGCGCCGGGAAGGTGACCTTGTCGAAGGTGCCGTTGTAGGACGCCAGGAAGGGTTCATTGCCTACGGCCACATACCTGCAAACAACACATACGGGTCATACAACCGCGGCGGGCGCCATGAACGGGAAAGAGCAAGCAGCGAGCAAGAGGAAGGGGGACTCACTTGATGTTGACGCCGCCGTCGAAGTGGTAGCGGGAGACGTTGTGGCGCACCCAGTCCCTGGCGTTGTCCTTGTCGTTCATGATGTCGAGCAGGTTGTTGGGGATGGCGACCATGACCTCGATGTCGGTGCCGGCGAGCGCGTTGAGGGTGCCCTGGTCGGCGTCGAACAGTTTCACCTTCTTGATGCCGTTGTCCCTGAGCAACTGCACGACGATCCTGGGCGAGAGCGGGTGCGTGGCCTGCGTGCCCCAGTTCATCCCCAGCGCGTCCGCCGCCGGGAGGACGGCCAGTGCCACCACTACCAGCGCGCAGAGCCAGGCGCCCAGATTCGCCGCCGCCATTGTTCAGGCCTCTCTACCCTCCGACGAACTGACGAAATAAGGGAGATCTCTGGACGCGACGGGTTGGGAATCCAGGAACCGGGGAAGGCTCAAGATTTGCCGATCCGAACGGAGTCGGGAATCGAATCGAATCGAATCGAGATTCAGTCGAACAGGAGAAAACGGGAAACAATGCCGGGCGGTGGACGAAGTGCCCCGTGCGGAGTATAAATCGGGGGATGGACTGCGAGAGCTGCAAGAAACGGCAATGGCGGATTGCGCACGGAAACCAAACGCGGTTTCTTCTGAGCCTGGGCTTTCCTATCTGATCCTGATCCTGGTGACACCAACAGATGGGGAAGAAAGGGATGGGGGGCGAAACTCACATGTGAATGCCGGAAATTCCTTCCCGGAGCCAAAAAGGCAAGAAACGAAACAGAGGAAGGTATGGAAAGGGCGGAGGCTTTTGAGTCGAGTTGAATCCGGCGAAAGAGAAGGAGAGAAAGAGAGAGTCGAGGCAGAGGCAATGGCGACGCCGGCCGGGGACCGAGGTTGAGAGGGAAGGAAGGGTCAGAAAGGGGGCAGCATTTAACTCGGAGATCGGCCGGCGACGCGTTGCTTCGTTGGTGTGTTTGGGTCTGGGACAAGGAACCGAGAAAGAAAGAATTTATGAGGGGTTGATGGTGAGCAGAGGGTGATGGAACGCAACGCAACGGAACGGATGACGGATCGTGGGGCGGGGTGTGGACTGGTCAGTGGCGGATGGACGGCGAGCGTATGGCGAAGCGGAAGCAGAGAGTGGGGTGGGGGGAGTGGTGGTGGTGGTGGTGGAGAGGGGCGTATGGGTCATTGCGCTCGCTGCCGCGGCTGGATCGGTGGGGGCGACGTGGCGCGCGGCACGCGCCCGGGTTGACCAGCCGCGGGGCCCACGTCGGCTTCTCTCCGTTTTAGCGCGCGTCCTCAGGCCACGCTGGAAAATGAAAGTTTTTTTTCTTTTCTTGGAAAAGAAAAGGGAAGCGCGAATTTTTTTCAGAAAAAATCGTGTAAGGTTCTCCTTTTTTGCATACACGCTACTCGTCTGCTGGTACTGGAACCAAGGTTTTCTCTCTACGAAATCTCGTCTACTGGTACTAGTTTTTTAAGGTTTCGTTTTGGTATCTCCGGGCGAGTATGAACCGAGGAGGAGGGAGGGACAGGGGTCGCGTGGAACGGCTCTATGGCCGGCGTCCTGCCGGAATCGAGTCGACAGCCACCACGCCAGGCCCGTACGCCCTGTGACACCTGGCCTAGGTTTATTCGCCCGTTGCCTGCGCCGGGCGCGGCTCCCCAAAACGCCCCTGCCCGGCTATTCAAATGTCTGGACCACGCACTCGCGGACAGAAACAGCCGCGTCTGAGCCAGAGCGTGTTGCACATGTCGGCACGCGCCGCCGCGTCGTCTTGCTATGCTCCACTGTTTCACGCTCCCCGCCGACGACGATGGCCCGTCCGGTCCCGTCGACAGCCATATCTCACCAACCCGGACCAGGCGCCACTACTGTACTGTCCCAGTGCGGCGATGCAGCTACCGCAGCACCGCACGTGGCACCGCCCGATCTCTGCCGTGTCCAGCTGGTTAATTAAGGCTGGTCATAATGGGAGTAAACATAGGTAGTAACATAGATGTCACGTAAGCAAAAACGGTGATGTGGCAAGTAGTTAATGAGGAGAGAGGCAAATAGAGTAAGAGGGTGCTTGGATACAAGGGACTATTTTTAGTCTGACTAAAAATAGTCTCTTTTAGAGGCTAAAGTTTCAAGCACCCCTGACTAAAGAGAGGCTAGGACTAGTCTTGAGGCTAAAATCTTTTAGTCATGGGAAACCTACTAAAATATGTATTAGCTCTCTCTCTCCTCATTTAATTCCTCTCCTTAGTTCTGGATTGGAGGGTTTGGAGGATAATAAATGCTCAATAACTAGATTTTAGTCTTTTTAGTATTTGGATCCAAGCATGGGTGAGACTAGCAAGTTTTAGTCCCACTACTTTTAGTCATGGGACTAAAACGTATCCAAGCATGCTCTAACATAATATGTTACCATCACATAGCGCTTCCCAACGCATAATGAGTCTAAAAAGTAATAAATGAAGGCATCTATGTTACCACACCTATGACACTACCCACTATGAAGGTAGTAACATAGACTAGTAACATATGTATGTTACTAGTCTAAATTACTCCTCACTATGACGAGCCTAAGAACTAACTGACGGTACACCAACAGCAGTAGTAGGAGTACTTCTAGCTGGGGTGGGTGTCGAACTCGAACCGACGAGTGGTTGATGCCCAGTGAGGTGCACCAGCTTGGCAGCTTCAAGCACAAGCAAACTATCCCGTTTCTGTTGAGAGTTAGTAGTGGCCATTAGCCAAAGCTGGTCAGCCGTGGCCACTTCTGTTCTCTGCTACGCGATGGAGCACCTTTTGGATAGGCCGAGAGGCGAAACGGGGGGATGCTCGTGTAGTTTTGGTCCCATGCTGTGACGGTTGTAGCGTGAGATGAAGCGGGAATTTCTCCTGAATCAAATGAGGCAAAAAAGTGATGTGCGTACGATCCTTTTCTGTACAGAGACAAAGACGGTGGCAAAAAGCAAGAACAATCATTTCAGGTTCCAGCTCCCCCCGTCCAAGTGCACTGACTGCAGATTCAGAAAAGGGGCTCGAGCTAGACAGAAGTGTGTGTGTGTGTATACACAAAAATTAACGTGCACCAGCCGGGAATCGAACCCGGGTCTGTACCGTGGCAGGGTACTATTCTACCACTAGACCACTGGTGCCTTGTTGAATGGGCTCTCCATTTTCCATAATTATTTACATTGCCAGAAATACTCAAGAGTGTTTTTTTTTCTCAAATATGCACGAGTGTGCATATCATATATTATAGAAGAAAAAGGCTAAGTATGCCTCCACCATAATTTACAAGGTTTTGTTTTTACAAGCTAATCCTCATCACTCACCCACCTCTCTACCCTAGCAAAGAAAGGCATTACACCTCCTCGTAGTAACCCAGCGGTTGACCAAGAGGAACCCTCCGCGCACATGCTTCTTAGTAACTGCTCAACCGAAGGACGCGCGCCCTCGAAGACAATTGCATTCATATACTTCCACAACTCCCACCAAGTAAGCGCAAAGATGGTGCGAAGGTCCTTCGTGCTGACGTTGTTTGAACCACGCTTGTCAACGGCCCACTCCACCAGCGTTTCTTGGGCAGTAGGAATCCAACTTGGTGTCCCCAACGCGACGAAGATCGCTGCCCACACTGTGCGAGCAAAAACACATGCGAGTAGAACATGGTCGATCGTTTCCTCCTCTTGATCACAGAAAGGGCATGCGTCCTTATGGGGTAGGCCTCTGCGTGCTAGTTGATCCGAGGTCCAGCATCGATTCTTCATGGCTAGCCATGTGAAAAACCTGCATTTCATAGGAGCACGTGATTTCCATGTCAGGTCCGCTGTTTGGGCCACCTCCCGGCCCCAGAAAGCTGCCGCATAAGCTGATTTCACAGAGAACTGCCCATTTGTCTCCCACGACCATGTTATCTCATCCGGCTCGTCATCAGAAAGCTCCCAACCATTGAGCAGTTGCCATAGCGCTAGAAACTGGTGTAAGGTTTCCGGTTCAAGGTTGGGGCTGATGTCCGTCGCCCAAGAGCCGTCCTGCATGGCCGTACTGACCATCCTCATGTTGCGAGTGCGGGGGTGCACCAATTCATAGACTCGCGGCGCCAACTCCTGTATTCTTTGTCCATGAAGCCATCGGTCCTCCCAAAAGCGTGTTGTTCGTCCAGACCGCATAGTGCTCCTCATGGCTGCTTGACATAGCATTTGTGCTTCTTCCGGGACTTTGACTATGAATTCCTTCCATGGTCTTGACTCATCTGTCCTCATGAGCCACGGCCAGCGGGCTTGCATGGCAATATTCATCCATCTGAGGTTTGGCAGCCCCAATCCACCTGCCCACTTCGGCGTACAAACCATATCCCATGCAAAAGCACAGTTACCACCGTTTGCCTCAGCTCATCGGCACCATAAGAAACCTCGGCAAATCTTGTTCATTGCCGATATAGTTTTTGCAGGTAGGTCCAAAGCCATCATAGCATGGATCGACATTGCACACAAGACAGACTGCACAAGAGTTAGTCGCCCGCTCTTGGGCATCATAGAAGCTCTCCATTTCGGTAGCTGATTTGCCATGTGATCCACCAAAAATTGTAACTGTGTTGCGGTTTGCTTCCTTAGCGATAGGGGTAGCCCAAGATACTTGATCGGGAATGATCCCAAGGGGCATTGCAACTCATTGCATGCCATTGCAATCTCCTCCTCAGAGCACCTGATAGGTAGGGCCGCGGATTTGCTCATGTTGATTCTCAGCCCTGATGCCTCCCCAAAGATCTCAAACAGGGACTTGCATACCTCAAGGTCCATTGGATTTGGCTTGATAAATAGCACCACGTCATCAGCGAAGATAGAGAGACGTTTCCTCATGCCAACACGCGCCAGGGGTGACACCAGACCTCTAGCCATAGCCACCTCGAACAACCTTTGAAGGGGCTCCATCGTTAGAATGAAAAGCATTGGAGAGATCGGGTCCCCCTGCCTCAGCCCTTTACAATTGTATATCGTGTCTCCCGGCTCACCATTCACCATGATCTTGGTGGTCGATGTTGCAAGTATCCCGCATATCCAAGACCTCCACCTTGGTCCGAAGCCCATTTGATTCAACACCTCAATAAGAAAAGGCCATTGAACAGAGTCAAAAGCTTTAGATATATCTAGCTTTAGCAGCACACTTGAACTCCTCAAAGCATGCAAGCAACGTGCCATGCTCTGCACAAGCATGAAGTTGTCATGCAGCGATCTGCCCTTAACGAATGCACTTTGGTGGTTCCCGACCAACTTGGGGAGATCCTCCACCAACCGACTGGCCAAACCCTTTTCAAAGATCTTGATGGCCCCGTGGACAAGGTTTATAGTCCGGAAGTCACTCA